TCATTTATAAATATTTATTTTTTGATTACCAAAACGAGCTGATGCTTCTAGAATAATAAGAAATCAAAATATCACAAGCGTTTGCCGTCATATCTGTTATAGTATTTGAAAAGCGGTCAAAGAATTCTATGCAACTAATTCAAAGGATCATTTTATTCAAATGTCCCGTATACAAAAGATTTGGAGCCAATTATTAAATAGAGGACTGACATGTTGTGAAAGGATTTAATTATACTTTAAATTATTATTTAATTGTCTCATGTGGCAATGGGACAAAGAAAAGAGTTAAGTAAATAGAGGTCTTTAGATCTCTACTGTTAATTCACTCCTTTTGACGGCCATAGAAAAGATTTTCCGTAATCAACATCATTAACTCTTTCTTACTGCTGGGTGACTTGTAGTGTAAATAAGAAACCAGGAAAAACTGATTGACAATCTATTGAGTAATAATACTTACTGATCTTAGTCTTTTACGAACGCTGATTAAACAAATGATACGGCGAATGTCTTGATCTCTCAATGTATTTTTTTTCTTTTTTGCTAAACATTTTATGTGAAAGGAGGTGGGGAATCGGCAGTTTTAAAAATGGTGATGTCATATTTTTAACATTTAAACTTCGTGGCAAAAATACAAATAAAAACTGTGACGTGTGCATTTAGAGAGTACATTGCTTGTATATATCGTTGGAATATTTTCATGCTTAATTATAAATGAGCTTTCTTCATCCTCATGTTTTAACAGTTAGTTTAGTGTATTTGACTAGTTTTGTGATTTCTAGGTAAGTTGGAACATCAATCTTTAATATATTTTCATGCTTAATTATAAATGAGCTTTCTTTGTCCTCATATTTAAACAGTTAGTTTAGTGTATTTGACTAGTTTTGTGATTTCTAGGTAAGTTGGGACATTAATCTTTAATATATTTTCATGCTTAATTATAAATGAGCTTTCCTCATCCTCATGTTTTAACAGTTAGTTTAGTGTATTTGACTAGTTTTGTGATTTCTAGGTAAGTTGGAACATTAATCTTTAATATATTTTCATGTTTAATTATAAATGAGCTTTCTTCATCCTCATATCTTAATAGTTAGTTTAGTGTATTTGACTAGTTCTGTGATTTCCAGATAAGTTGGAATATTAATCTTTAATATGTTTTTTATTTATTTATTTTAGCTCGTGATTTCTAGATTAATCAAGATACTTTAAATTAATTAATAAAATAGGAACATGTTTAATGAGTACAAAATTTGATTTGATCTTTGGTTCCATGTAGTAGAGAATAGCCACTTTATTGCGGCTAGACATTACTTCTATGATTGTTGCTGAGTCTGTCAAGAATATTTGAAAGGAAATGAAGGTTAGGAAGTGAGAAAGATTTTTTTTTATCACCTGGTTTAGTATTCTATTAAATTAATTAACCTTTGAAACATGAAATTTCCAAAAAATTTGAAAAATAGGATACTTGGATAAACTTATAAGCATCTATTGATAGGAATTTAATTTGTGACTAACTTATATTTATACGTCTAAAGCTACTTTTACTTAAAGAACTTAGTGGAAAAAATTCTGTGACTTTTAAAAAATCTCAAAATTTTTAGTTTCTAAACACATTATTGAAAGAATAGAGTTATAATTCTTTTTACCAATTTTTTTTTATTTTTAAAAAGAGATTTTAATGAAAACAAATGTTTTGCGAAAAGTTCCTTGCTAATACTGTTTTGTTTTCTTCATCTCTTCTGCTATATTGCAAGTAATATTTATGCATGGTATTTCCAACAACTTTACTAAAATGTCAATTGGAGCAAGTTTCCAATTAGCTGTTCAATCATCTCTGTTTTTCTTTTTCTTTTCTTATTTTTATTAATTTTTATTTTATTACACATTATTTATCCAATCGAAAATCAGTAAAATGATCAGTTATCAGCTATTGAAAAAAAAAAATGACTTTAGACATAATTTATTTTGTGTACTGTAAACCATATTTTTATAAATTTAGATTGATATTCCCTTTCCCCTCAAAACCAATATGCAATAAATATTTTTTGGGTGAGAGAGACATATGTTAAATATAAGTAAATATTGCGAGCTTTAAAATTAATATTTGCGGACAGTGAGCACAATATTATTTAACGACGGCGCTAATTACTTCCTTATATTCAATGAAAGTGAACTTGCATTTCAAGTTTAGTTTATTTTTGGAATTACTATTATTATCATTCTGTATGACAATTAGGAAGTAAGCTGAAATTTAATTTTATGTAAAGAAATAAAAATATTCGAATTATCATGACTTTTCCTTTAACATTGAAGTGAGGAATAACAATGAATTTACAAGCGTTAAAAATTTAAAATTTTAAATACCGCTTGTAAAATATAATCATTCTATTAATATCTAAAATATAATCATTCTATTCTATTAATTAAAGCGGATAAGTGGTTACAGTTCAAGACAGATAGGGAAAAATTAAACAAATGTTAAACGAATGGTATCAATATCATAACAAATTATTTATAAGAAATTGAGAGAGCAAACTAACTTTTAACATTTGAATCAGTTAGAAATAAATATTTACTTAAAAATTGGCTTAAATAAGAATTCGCTTTAAATGAGAGATTACATTATCAGTTCATGAAAAATGCTGTCAGTTAAAAAAGAGAAAAATAAATTCTTTAATTAATTTTCTCGTATTATGATTCGTTTATTTTCAGTATGTGTGGGAATTTCCATACATCAAAGCAGTGTTTCCCAAACTTATGACTTTTGTGTACCCTTTCTAAATTTTTCACAACGCTGTGTACCACTAATAAAAAAAAAAAAAATGAATGCATTTTTTACTATAAAGAAATTGCACGAAAGTTTAAAATCACAACTGGTTGTTGGCACCACTAATTATTAACTGTTAACTGTTAAAAAAATAGACAATAGAGAAATACGTAATCGTAAATTTTCATGGCAGCTTTGTTTTTATAATACAATATTTTGTTTGTTGCAAGATATTTCGTATAAAAACGCGTGCCCCCGCTAAACCTTTCCCGCACCCCCAGGGGTACGTGAACGGCTTACCACACTGGTTTACCACACGGTTTACCCCAGGGGTACCACACTTTAGGAAACACTGCATCAAAGAGATAGTCTATAGTCATAAATTTGTGATTCATTTGAGTGCATGGTTGACTGAATCTAAACTATAATAAGCTTCCTAAATCCGGAAGAAATTTAGAATATTTCCGGTGTATCATTCCGCTTGTGTTATGCTTACGAGGCAATGTGTGAACAAGCTTAATATTCTAGGAAGTTTCATTATTGTGATTTGTGTTTAAATTTACGCGTAATTTTACCATACATAAGAATTTTCTGTAATTTAAAAATTCTAACACGTTTTGAACCTAAAACCAAATTAATAACACAGCATAAATAGCCATGCAAAGGTTAGCCATGCATAGGTTAACAGCATTGGTTAGCCATGCTTTGAGTGTTATCCCTTATTCGGCTATATTTGTGCAAAATATCACCGTTTGTTATTTTTTGGGTAGCATCAGAGCAAGTTTGCTGAGTCTTCCGAATTAGTTAGTTGTTTGTTTTGTTCTAAGTTAGATTGAAAGAGCACGCTATATTAAAAACACTACAAATATAATAATTTTGGATGGTGCGTTTTTTCACGCTTAGGAGTGAAAATCAGTTGGAAGTAGAAACCTTTAGCACAATCTGAGTTTAGCTTTACACGTTCAACCATTCATATTTTAAATAGTTTTACCTGAATAATTTCCTTTGAATAGTTTCCATTGAAATAATTTTAATTTATTTAGAAAAAATCTTAAATTCTGTTTTCCGACTAAAAACCCGATTTCTGGAAGAGTAAACCGTTTTTTTTGTTGAATGAAGTCAGTTATTTAGTGAGAATAGTTAAAGTAGTTATGCGACGGTGGGAGAACATCATTTGAGGATGATCGCAATTTTGATCCTCTGCAGAATTGGTGGCTCCTTCTCTCTGGAAGCCAGATAACCTGCGAGCAAGGTCTAGTACTATACGGTAGAACAAAATAGAACCAATACCGTACACCCTCGATCCCTTCGCAGGATGATCAAAGTGGTCGACTAACCACTAGCAGACTGCAGACAGTGATGTTTGACTTCCGCGTTCTGTTGAGAATCATGGGGCAATTGCATGAAGTAGGAATGCTCCTTTAATAGTAGCAGTAATACTTTATTTTCGTAATACTTTATTCATTAGAGCTGCACAATGAGCTATTGACTGCAGTCTTGGGAACCTCCATGAGAATGATCCGAAAATTTTTCGTCATAATCTTGATCCTCTGCAAAGGCGATGTCTACTCTACTTTGATAGTTCGACGACATACTTGCGAAGTCGAGCACTTTTAGGTAGAACAGTTAAATGAGGACTAGTACTACACATCTTCAGCCCCTTCGCAGGCTGACCAAAGTGATCTACCATCATCAGCACACTGACCACAGCCGGAGATGCTTAACATCGATGTTGTATTGGAAACCGTGTCTTTAAGATCAGTCCACTGCAGTACCCGTAGCGATTGTAGTTAGTGTGACAGATTACGATACAGTACTAGTAGTCGTAGTTTAGTTATGTCGTACTAGAGTTGCGCAATGGGCTATTGGCGATGGTCTGGGAAACATCCATGAGGATCATCCAAAGACATGCCATTACAATTTTGATTAAAATTTTGATGGCAACCCCGCTGCTGTAGCCCGATGACCTCCGCACGAAGTCGAGCACTTTGAGCTAGGAACAGTATTTCAACGATGAGTCTTTTGCGGGACTTAATATTTAAAGGTCATTCTCACTGTGTATAACTTTTTTTTTTCTTCATGCAAACGAGTACCTGATTGGTTATGTTCCCAATCTAGTTCTGATTCGGATCCCGTGAGAATGGTCCTTGCGGACTCATGCCGATAACACCTAAGTTTTTAAATATGCTAATATCTGTCGTAAGTTCTTATTGTGAACAAAAACGGGTTAGCGGAAACGCATGCTTTAACATTTCCGAAACAGATGCGCGAAATATTAGTTTTTATTTGTGAATATGTTTTCTTTCACTTCTTGAGCATTTGTTGAGACGCGTTAGGTATCCTTTGTTTGTTGGAAAGTAATGCACTTGATTAGATATATTAATTTTATGATAATATTTTTCTGAACTTCATTTTGCACGTTGGATAAGCATAATACTTCATGAGCATAATACTTCCACCTTCGAGGTATTTTTGGGCAACTTAAGTTTTTTTTCCTGATTTTTTTAAATTTATTAGTTAAAAATGTAGAAAATGTATTTTATTTATAATTTTAATATTTGATTATTGCATCGAATTTCATATAAACTAGTTTACAGTGTGCTAGTTAACTTATTGTTTGTGTTTTCAAACTCATTTCTCGTTTTTTGTTCGTTAAGCTTTAACTGCGAAAGTTAGTTCAATTTTGAAGGCCTGCGTCTTGTCTTTGAATGCATAAAAGTTTTAAATTACTACCGTTTATTTTTATCATCGTTTATTGATTGAACTATACCATCAATATATTTTATATTCACTAACAGTTAAAATTTCAAAAATAATATATTTCAGAAATTTCTGTTTTTATTATGGTGCCTAAAATATTAATAATCTATTTTATGTGTGTCTAAGTATATTTATTATATATTTTTTAGAACTTAATTATACAACAACTAATTTTATTACATCAATTTATTTTTGTGCATAATATTCTAATTTCAACTTGATGTTATCTACAAACAATCAGTTTTTTTAAAAATGCAACTGTATAAAATTATCTCACTACTTTAAGTGTTTAGCATATTACGTTCTGTTGAACAATGATTACAAAATGTGGTGAGGAAAATTCCCCACTATCTTTTAAATCTTAGTTTATGCATTTCCATTCAATTCTTGAAAATAGGAAGAATTTCTTAATATAACTGTGTATTTATTTTTAGCATATCTTGTTACTCTAAACAGCATAAACTTATCACTACTACAGAAGCAAATCGTTATCTACACTTTCTTGTCTCACGTGTCGAAGTGTAAAGCTAAGATACTATCAACCAAACTGCAGCATTTTTGACCTTTATTGGTTATTGTCAAGACAATATCTTCAATTTTTTACCTTAGCTTTATGTGATTATCTGTATATACTTATATTTCAGTTTTATTTTTTTAGAAATTTTCAAGTTTTGTAAAATTCATAAATATTTAATTTATTCATAGCGATTAATTTAATAATTATTTTTCAGATTTTGGATGCATCTTTAAAAAATAATTATGGCTGATAGTTCCTACTTCTCGAATGTTATCTATAGCAATCAGACGTATGAAACACTTAGCAGAGATTTGATAAATTTGTATTTTCAACATCAAATGCTGATATGGACTATTATTTTGCTTATTCCTGTTGTGGTATGCTTATTTTTATGATTTTTTCATATTTTGGTGATATTCTTTTTCATTAGAACTTATCTAGTGTTTTTCTTAAAATTTCATTAAAAGATTTAAGATAATATATTTAAAATTTTAGTATTTCAGTAGTGTATGTTTTTTAATTAAAGCTTATTTATTATTCTTAATGCAAAATTCCTTTGTAAAAATAATATGATATATACTTTTCACAAAATATATCTCATTTTTTAAACAGATAAGGAATGCAATGTGAGTCTGTATGTTGTGGTATATTGAAGCGAATATGTTAAATGTAACTTATATTTAATATGAAAATTTAATTTAATTTTTATTAAATGGTTAGTTTTTTGATTTAATAGCATGCATAACCATAAAAAAAGATCTTGTATAGAATTCATTATAATTTTTTATTTTATTTTTACTTATACCTTATTGTTTTAATTAATTTTTTCCTTAAATTTTGCAAATGCTTTTAATTATTTATTTTATTTATTTTTTTCGCTTTACTGCAATTATTTCTTTTATTTATTTTTCACTTTTTTGACTTTACTACATTTATATATTTCTTTTAAAAAAAAAGTGTTTTAGCATTCAAAATAAAATATTTTTACTTTTTTTTCATACATCCTGAATTTGAAATATTTTTCTAAGAAGAAAAAAGTATTATATTTTCAATTTGAAAAAAAAAAGAGGAATATTTTAAGTTATTATTGCACTTAAAATTTACTTTTCTATTCTTCATCTTCTTTGAATGCTTTGAAATATTTATTGAATACATTTCTGTTGAAACTGTATGGAATGAAAATATATTTGAGAAACCCTACAACTTATGTTTTTAATTATTATTTATATCCAGTTAATATTTAAATTTTTTGTCAACTTTATTAAAAATCTAACTCTGTCATTATTTTTTAGGCTACTCTTCTGTTGCCGTTATTTATGTTAAGCTTGGTGTACGTATCTGCTCTTTATCTGAAAGCATATCGGTATTATTATAAAATTAATGGTTATACATTTACTCCAGAGTGCTGGATATCACCAAGAAATTTTTTATGTTATTTGTGGGATTTTCAAGGAAGATTTTGGTATGGTATGTATCAATAATGTTGTTATTCTAAATTATTGTAGATTTGTGTAAAGGTATTTAGATTGGGTACTTTATTTGCTTCACCATAGAACTGCATTATGGGCTAATAGTGACGATCTGGGAGACATCCCTGAGGAGGATACAAAGACATGCCATTACAATTTGTGATGTTCACTTTCTCAATTTAGACATAGATCTGAAGGGGAAGGAAATTTTCTACAGGTCTCTGCGCCCTTGGTACTGCTCAGTGGCCGACCACGGGACTTTTTGATTCCACAGATTTTACCAGCACATATATCGCATGAACGCCATAATTCTTAGGAGTAGAGAATCGAACCCCAGCCTCTTGGTACCAGAGTCCGAGTTTACTCTGTTACAGAATCACTAGGCTAACACTGCCTTTTGTTGTGGAAAGGACATCTCATTTTTTTTAAAAATGGGTTGGGATATGTAATTTTTTTTGATTGATGTATATTTATAATTGTTTGTATTATTTTTTTAATATGCTATTATGTGATTACTTATGTTAATATTACAGTGTTATTAATTCATGTACACCATTAAATTTTTTCAAATTACTTGCTAAATAAAACTACTATGCTATTTACTATGCAAAAAAAGTGAGTCTTGAGGCTAAAATAATAGAAAATATTTCATTGTCTGATACTAAGACATGATGTATCAAATTTTATTTTAGTTCATTTTTGTTACCTATTATGAAATTTTTTCTAGTTTTCTGTATTTTTGAAATTTTTTTCTTAAATTCTCATTATGATTTAATATCTACCAAGTAATAGAATTTTATTAAAAATTGGGAATTTTTTTTCTTCCTCTGAATTGTTTTAAAAATGTATTTGTGCATTATGTTTATTTTCTTCTACCAATATATTAGTTTTTTTCCTTTATTTTCATAAACTTTTTTAAAAATTATTACTTAAATCTTTTTGTTTTAGATAGTACTTCTTGTGTTTTTACTTTAAAAACGTCTCTGGTAATGTTTATATTTTTTTCCTCATCAAAGCATTGAAGTCTATAAGCAAAAAAAACTAAATTTAGAATAGACCTACTAAAATTTTAATTTTGCTGTTCATTAAAACTAGATTTAGTTTACTGAGAGTTAAACATATTAGTCACATCTTATGGTAGAAATTAGATTTTTTATTTTTTTTGTTTAGCATATTCTGTTGTTCTTGTTTTAATGTACTTATGATGCAGAAACAACTTTAGGCATAAACTAATAACAACAGTTTTAGCAAATATTTTTTTAGTTCAACAGTCTAATATATATATATATATATATTTTGAACAACATCTTTGTAATGGTAACTAAAGGTTGTCTTGTTTGAAAAGAAAAGCTTTTTATTTATATATATTTTTTAAGAATTATATGTGATTAAAGCAACAAGCAGCAGGAAAAAAATGATATATACTCATAGCAAAATTAAGTACCTTAATCAAATTTTTCAGTAATTAAGTTGGGATTCTTACAACTTTCTAGTAAATTTAGTTTTTATTTTAGATTATAATACTTCTAAGTAATAATAAATAATATTAATAATGAATAAAAAATAAATTTATGTGTTAACTTTTTATATATTTTATAAATTATATAACTATTTATATATTTGGCATCAACTATGTATGTGTTTAATGTTACATTTTAGTAAATTACATGTTCTTGCAGTGTGGATGTGGCAAACTTCGCTTCCAATAATTGATTTCATATCTGTTACATGAACAATTTAGTTTAAATATTTTCTAAAAGTAATTCTTAATTTTTTTTTCCTTTTTGAAATCAGGTTATGAAGCTGAAGGGTTAGAAAACATTCCAAAAGAAGGTCCTGCATTAGTTGTTTTTTATCATGGAGCCATGCCTGTTGATTGGTATTATTTGCTCTGCAAAATTGTGCTTTATAAAGAACGTGTCATCTGTGCAGTCGGTGACAGATTTTTGTTTAGTATTCCAGGTAACATGTTTACGAATCTATATCATTATCATTGAAATAATGTTTTTTTAATTAGTAATGAAAATAAATCCTTTATGATCTGGAAGTATTTCAAGTTTTCTTCCCAACAGGTATAATCGTAATACTTAATCACTATATTAATAATTAAGATTGCATGATTAATTACAGTTGCATAAATTATAATTATAATAAGTTTGATAAAATTAATAAAATGGTTCTTGCATTAAGCCCAATAAAAAAAGTTCCTTTAGTCTGCACTTGTTTTTCACCTTTAAAACATAGATTTTTTCTTTCTCTAGTAAATTGCTGTTAAGCAGTGATTTTATGACATATATTCTTTGTTTAATAAATTATCTTTATGGCATTTGCTGATTCAAAGGTTTTAAATTTTGTTTTTAATTGCATGAATTGTCCGCAGCACTGTTATGCCAATTGATTTTATTTCTTTAGGACACAGATTTTTATTTTTTTTTATTAAATAAAATACCTTTGCGGTGTTGATTTTATGTTTTTCTGACAGATATTTTTTATTTTCCACTTTCTTAGACGAAATGATTTAATTTGATTATTAATTTTTTTTGGTGTCTGGTTTTTCATGAAACATCTGCCTTTTCTTTGCACTTTTTGAAATTTTTTAAAAAATAATATTGTCAGGGCTGATTGTGCTCCGGAAAAAATCCGGATTTTTCGCTGACAGTGATCCGGACGTTTCCGAGGTCCAGACGTTTTAAAAAATCATTGATCACAGAAGTTTCCAGAAATCAAATTTTCAAAGGTGGAATTTAGAAACACAGTTTATTTTATTTGTTTGTAAGGGAGAGCCAGATACTTTATAAGCTTATATTCATGATTAATATTAAATTTTTTATCAGTAAATAGTTATTATAAACTCAAAGAAAGACATATTTGTGAATTTTAATTACTTCTCCAGGTCATCATAGGTACATACCTGCCAACTTTTAATCCTTTCCATTATAATTTTTCCCAGTGGTATTGAAATGGAATTAAAACTTCAATTTTAAGCAAACAAATACGTTGTATTTGAGCAAACTTAAATTGACAACCATGATAGTAACGCATATTGATATATGTGCTTAATTTTTGTAAGAATAGTGGTGATCAAAATCATTTAAAAATTAAATTTATAAACGAAAAAATAGTATATATTTACTACCACTTTAAATATGAAAATAAAATCTTCCGGAAAATCCGGAAGAGTTGGCAGGTATGTAGGTATGTGTAAATGGTATAGGTATATGTAAAAATGTAAATATATTTTAAGTAAACTAAGAAATATTGAGGAAAAGGAAAAAAACCTTATTTAAATTTTTATCTAATTTTTCAATTTAAACTGTTTTTTTTCCTTCCTTTTAAACTTATGAGAAATTTTCCGGAATTTTGACTTGGGCTCACAATCACCCCTGTATTGTAACATGCCTGACATTTTAATTAAAATGCAAAAGCTATATTTATAACATTTTTTTTAACTTCCTTTATTAAACTTCTGTGGAAAATAAACCCCAAAATCTGTAAAATAATAAATGTATGTACTTGAATTTATATAGTTTATCAAATTTTTACTACAATTTCTCTATGTGTTTAGTGACATTTCAGTGATTCACAATAAACCCTTCAAGCATAGAAGCAAAGGTTTGGTTTAGTTCATTTCTTTTGATATCTATAGTTGAAAAAAGTACATATAAGTAAAGGAAGTTTTTGAAAATGGAAGCTAAACTTTGGAATATCTACCGTATATTCCGGCGTATAACGCGCACTTTTAATACAAAAAGTAACATTGGAATTTTCGAATGCGCGGTATACGCCGAATATAAAAATTTATAGATTAAAAAAATTTAAATATGGAAAAATACTTTTATTTGAAAGAAATGACATACCTTTACCTATATACTTTATTGATTTTCGTTATTACGTAAATAGTTCATTATGTTCGTCTTCCGTTCTTTCTCCAGGCATGTCATCACAATCTGTTTCGTCTTCATCTGTGTTACCCTCATCCATAAATAAACAGTCATCTTCTGATCCGTCCAGATTATTTGAAATGCTGCATTTTTTGAATGATTTTCTAACCATCTCAGGCTTAATTTCATCCCATACTTTTAATATCCATTCGCACACTGTTTCCAAACTTGCATGACGCATATGTCCTCCTTTCGTAAAGGTTTTCTTGCCCTCCAACATCCAAGTGTTCCACTGTTTTTTTAAATTGGCTTTAAATGGTTCGCTTAAGCAGACGTCCAATGGCTGAACTAATGGTGTCAATCCGCCCGGAATAACTGCCATATCGGTGTTACATACTTTCAAAAATTTTTTTGTATTATCTGTAAGGTTGGAACCAAAACATGTCCCACACTAAAAGGCTTTCTGGTTTTCTATAGATACTAGACGAGATATTGCACATGTACAATCCAAATTTTCGTGCGCGTTATACGAAGAGTATATCTTAAAATTTAAAAAAAGTTATTGGAAATTACGGGTGCGCGTTATACGCCGGGGCGCGTTATGCGACGGAATATACGGTACATGATTAGAAGTGTTCATTTGCTCGAAAAATGTTACCATTTGGATTATTTTGATGTAAACACTTCAAAATTGATTTTATAAAATTGAAGAAAAATCTACTGTTGTAAGATTTTTAGTAGTCTTGAGAAAAGTTTTTTTTCTCATTTTTAATTTTTCCAGGTTGGGCACTCTGTTTTTTGCTGGCTTTATGTATTTTAAATTTATAATTATCAGTTTTTAAAAGGAAAGTAGGCAGAACATATGATTATTAAATTCAAAATTACATAAGTTTTACAGATGTATAAGACTCACATAAATTTATAATTTTTATTGGTATATATATCGTAAATTGATATTGGTATATAATTTATACCGGTTTGTTGTTTAAAATAAAAGTTCTTTTTTATAAAAAACTAAGTATTAGAATCTACTTTTTTAATTAAATTAAGAAATATGTTTATTTTTTAATGCATTATATGATAATAAATATGTTAATTCTTTATTGAAAAAATAAAGTTTTAAAGAAATTCACTTTTTAAATTAAAAACTTAGCTGTTGGTTTTTAAAAAAAACACGGAGAGAAGTAAAAAAACAATTTTATTAAACGCAAGCTCCAGAGCAACTATTCGAGACTGATAGTACCTTATTGCTGCTAGATTAAAAAAAAGACAACCTTTGAAAGTGTTTTCATATCTCTCTAGACAATATTAATAGACCTTTGAAACAAGGGACTGATCACTCTCATAAAGCACTAAAGATATCATTACATTTTCTAAAGTAATTAAATCCATATTGTTACACTCTTTGTGGGAAAGGATTTAACTGTACATTTGATGTAAGCTTTTTAAACAGATTAGATTTAATATGCAATTCTTTTAACATTAAAAGTATAATTAATATTATATAGTTTATAGTATTTTTAAAAAAAAAATGTATCTTAATTTTTTTTTATAGATTTTTTTACATTCTTTTAGCTATACAGCAGTTTTTTTCTTTATTCATTCATCATTTCTTTATTCATTCTTCATTCTCTATTTGCAGTATGATCGTTTTCTTTACTCGCTTATTTCTCTTACTCATAATTTTCATTTATGTAATGTATAGTATAGATAAACTTATAATTATAAACTAAGGATTTTATTTTTTTCCCTCAACCACTTTGATTACATTGGTTATGATTGTTTTTTTCTTCTTCCAGCTTTTGATGCTATAATAGATTGCCTCCAAATTTATCCTGGCACTGTTGATACTTGTGCAGACATTTTAAAAAAAGGAAATTTACTGGCTATTGCTCCAGGTGGAGTGAGAGAAGCTTTGTTTGGTGATGAAACTTATCCTTTAATCTGGGGTTCAAGGATAGGTTTTGCTAAAGTTGCCATGGAAGCTAAAGCGGTAATAATTTCATTTTATTCTAAAGTTTAGCAAATAGTTTAGTATTCTCTGTTGTGTCAAATCTTTAGACACCTACATTTGCTATTTTAATGGTATAATTTTGTTTTTCCAAAGTTTATTTTAATGAAAATTTTATAATTTTGTTAATGTTAGTTATGTGGTTTTTTCCAATCAATTTTTGGTTGAAAAGTGGTAGATAGTTAACTATTAATGGCTCATATGTGGCCAGTTGGGTGCGTATATAGTTCCTCATTTCCTGTGAAGCATGTAATTTTTTCTTTGTTACTTACTGAAAAAGCAATGCTACACATTTATTGTAATTTTGATTATTATTATTTGTATTCTGTATCTAATGTGTGATATTTGTATATTTGATTGCCTTTTCAATTATTAAAATCCATTATTATTGATATACTAAAATATCTTTTATATTTTTAGCCTATAATTCCTGTATTTACTGAGAATATTAGGGAAGCATTTTTCACTTTAAGTTGGGGAAAAAGTATGTATATTTTATGAAATGTGTTTTACATTTGAAAACTTTGTATTTATAAATATTGTACTGTTTGTTTTATATAAAACAAAATTTATTTCTTGTACCTACTGTTTTAAAATTATTTTATAAATTTTTTTTTCCTGCTTATACTTGGTAGATTTAGTATTTTTCTCAGATTAAATTCTTACCTATGTTTCCATGTTATTGTATGTGAAAATGTTGAAGTATTGAACTATTAGTTTTCTAACTTGAACTAATGGATTCAATGGGCATTTTATGTCAGAAACTTAGGAAAAAATTCATTTCTATTTATCTCTTTTTTTTCGTAATTATTCTTGATAAATAAAACAAAAAAAAAAAGCAAAAAAATTTGATGCAAATAACAATGTGTTTAATTTATGATTTTTTATTGTGAAATTTTGTTCTTAAAGCTTTTAAACAAAAGATATGAAAATTGTAATAATACAGTGAAACCTCTGTTAGCGGACATTCTGGGGATATATGGATTTTCTTTTCTTTGATTAAAATTATTTCAATGATGTGTATCAAGGACACACTATTTATTTAATAAAATATGTTTCTTTTTTTTCTTAAGCAGGTTTAGAGTAAAGTAACTGAACTAAAGTTAAGTGTAAATTCTTGGCATAATTCTTGATGTATGAAATGATAAAATTTTATTGTTTTTTAAAATAAATTCTTAATGTTTTTTTTTTCCTCAAAGAGAAAAAGAATGACAAAATTGTAAATCAGGTGTTAGTTTAGTTGTTCAATTTGCTTCGTTTCTCATTTCATTTTTTTAATTTTTATTTTTTACATATATATCTTCCATTTAAAGAAAAAAAAAGGTTTAAGCGGCTTTGTGTTTGATATATTTCTTTGTTCACAATTATTCATAATTTTACTTATGCTCAAATCTGATTTTCTTATATATATGTGTATAAATTTATAATAATGTTATTTTTTTAAAATTTAAATATTAAAGTTGTGTATTTTCTTTTACAGAATGGTTGAGGAGTATTTATGAGAGAACAAGAATCCCTTTAGTTCCTATTTATGGTGGATTTCCTTGCAAGCTGAAGTAATAATTTTATTTACTAATTGGAATTGATATTTTAAAATTGATTTTTAAAGTTTTTTGTTTTAGTTTAAAGCTCTGAATTTGTTTTGAAGCAGTTTTTGAATTTCATTGCTAGAAGTTTTTTTGTTGTTCCTTTTGATTATGTGTTTTAAAACAAAATAAATGAAAAGTATTTTTACAAAAAGCTTATTGACTCCCTTAACAATAAAAATTAAAATTGCCTATGCTCTATCTGTGTAACATTTCAATGGCTTGGACTGAAATATTTAATTATTTTGTCAATGAATGCGCAAAGCAATAAAGTTTGCCTTTGTCACAGAGTTTTAATGACTTGGATACTTAGAAAGTATTAATTATTCCCCCTAACAAATTGAAAAATAAAAAGATATTGAAGTATATTATTTTGTGCATAATGCACTTATTTGTTCATTTTAGCAATATAATTTGTTGAATACACGTGAATAAATGTTATACAAGAAATATAAAAAGATGTTTTTTTTTCAATGTGTGTGTGCATACAAATGTTTTTTTTTTTTATTGGTTCATTTTTTTTAAAATTTAATGTAACAAATAATGATTATTATGCCATATTATTTAAAACAATAATTTTGAATAAGAATTCGGGTCTGCTACTGGTGACTAAAATGATTAATTCGAGGAAAAGGCATCTATTTTCGTCAAAATCTGTGCAAAAACTACTTTTTATTAAAATCAGTAACTTTCTTTTGTCCATTTAACTTCTATATTGGAAAAAAAATAAAATAAAAATTGCATTTTTTTGGTTACAGTGCTACAAGTAGGACGATCATCATGCATTATGCACTGCAGACAATATTTCTTAAACTTATTTTGTATATTGTGCAGTATACCACAGGATATTACAATAACAATTTAAGTGTGTCAATATTTTTTTTAAAAAAAATTAACTCTCATTTGTAGAAAAATAACACATTAGTTATTTATTCACATTATAAAATGAAAAATATTGTAAAAATATGTTAAGAAAGGGAGGTTTTTTTTATGCCGGCAGAAATTATTTTGGAGAATAATTTTCATATTTGGTGCAGCTACAACGACCATTTTTAGAGTTTAAGTTCACGAGCAGCCCTGGGTTTCAAATATAATAACCATATTATTTTTGCTATTTAATGCACAGTGTACAGCAGATATCTTAGTTGATATTAATTTATTGTCAAATATAAAACTGTGTATTAACAAATATTGTTAAGTAAAGGAATTTTAAGCTTAGTTATGTATTGTTTAACCATAAGAATTTTTAACATTTTTTTAGTTGAAATAGTTATTTGTTTAAATTAATTGATATTGTTTGTTTTTCAGAACAATTGTTGGCAAGCCTATTGAATATGACGCATCAATTACTCCTCAAGAAATGGCTGAAAGGGTAAATTTATATACTATTATTTTTCATTTTGATTTTTCTTTCCGCATGCTTTTTTGTTTTTTTACAAATAAACTATTTTGAACTTGTTTATTCGTAAAGAAATAGGGTGAATAACTCGAGAATGTATAATTTTTTGTAGAAGCTTTACTAAGCTCTTTAAGGAATGATAATATGAAGTAAATAAAATACGAGAAATAGAATAAAAATCAATATGATTTCGTTTTTTTTTAATTGTTTAGTTATGAACATTTTCAAGAATACAATACTTTTACTATATGTATATATATATATATTTTACCTGCAAATAGTTATTTTGATTATGCTACTGAAATCACAAACAATTGCCAAACGAGCCCTTTAATATTAAAACTGTTATAAGCAATAAATTAATTAATGCTGGGCAAGAAGATTGGAGTTTTCAAATAATCAAACTGTACAGAAAAAGGTTTGAAGTTTTCAGCAAATGTTAAAACCATTGGGTTTTTTTGGAGGAGATTTAGCATGAAAGAAGTTCAGAAGGGTTTAGCTAAGCTGGGGTGATAGAATTACGTAGAAATTTTATGAATCGCAAAAATATTGCTTTGTATGCTTTCTTAAAGCGAGCTATGCTCCAATATACTTAACATTGTACCAATTAAGTATTTCCCATTTCCTCGTTAAAGATGGTTCTCATCAAATAAGGGTTTGTTATAAGCGCGTTTTAGTGTAACTTGATAATTAAATTGTTTTTTATGACTTATGCTGGATTTAAATGTTAACAAACAAAAAAAAAGAATTTATTACATAAAGTGAAAGTTCAGTTTAGGCCTGTAGTTCTCTGTATCTCAAATTCTTATTTGACTAACTAATCATTTTAAAATTATAAATTGTATAAGTGTGTTTAATTATTTACAAAAATTACCAAGTTATCCTCTCAATATTTCTACAAAAGAATAAAGTTTTGTGTCACCATTACATGCTACACATATTTAGAGAATTTTTTTATTTATTACAATATACTTTTTATTCCTTGTGTTATACTACTTTTACTTTACAATTTATAGGTGGCAGATAGAATGAAATCTATGATCAAACAACATCAAAAGTTACCTGGCAGTATCACTAGAAGTGTACTAGAGCGATTTCATCATCTGTTTAAGCTTAAACAAGCATAATCCTTTTTTTTTCATTTGTGTGAACACATATCAATATAAGTTGTTGTGACCAACTGAGACATCTGCAAGTGAAAGGTATTTCTGTGTGTTATCAAGAAACATGTTTTTAGAAATTAGGAAGTTTAGTTGTGTTTGTTTTGAATGTCTTGAAAGTTTTGTATCGTTTGTGATAGATTGCTCATTGTTGTCAAATATTGTTACTGTCTCAAACTCTTTCCATTCCAGTTTTTACATTAGGTTAATTCGTAAAAATCATTGCTTCGCTCATTTCTGTATTTAAATAAAAATGAAAATTTGATCAATTTTTAAACTTTCTGTGTCTATTTGCATAATGTAATAAAATAATACTTCTCTAAATTTTCTAGTCCTTGTAAATTTATATCGGCATTTATTACTTAATGTAATGTTTAATGGTGGAAGAATAATAAATGTTTATACTATGCATGATATCTTCTATGAATGTTATATGATGTAATTTAAAGGACTATTAAAGGTTTATTATTTTTTAAAAGGATGAAGGTTTATTAAAATAGGATCATGTACTGTAGAAACCAGATTATGCATTATGCAATGAATGCTATTTTGAAACTTTCATTTATCAAATATTAACTTTTGATTTACTGATTAGCGAGACTGCATTTGTTAATAAATACTTGTTGCATTTTTTTTCAAGTTCCAATTTCAATCACAAAAAATATCAAATTTTCATAAAAACTAAATAATTGTCATATTTGTATAAAAGAAATTGTTTTGATATCATATACAGATATATTTCAGATACTTCTGCTAGTTAATTTGAATATGCTGTAAAAGTGTATTTAATTTACAAAATATTAAAAATAATTTTTTTTAAAATAACTGTTATGATACACTATACAAAGATCAGCATTTAACATTTGAAATTCAAGCATGAATATTTATAAGATTGTCCTTTTTTTCTAAATGTTACCTTTTTTTATGGTAAGAAAAAAATATTTTTTAGATATTTCCCGTTTTTTAAGGCAGTTCTCCATTCTCTTCCTCAAGATTGTATCAGTGTGGCTTCATATAACTACCCACTTAAATTAGCAATCTGTTTGTGGCTTCCATTTTGATAAAGTGGGGATTGCAGAAATCTTATTTGAATATTCAACTATAAATCTGAAATAAAATTAATTTAAAGAATTTTAAATTTCTGATAAATGAAAATATATATTAGAATAATTCTGTTCTTCAAAATTTAAAAATGAAAAGATCTAATTTTGTTACTTACTCTTTAATAATCTCTTAAGATACTTGTGCTGTGAGATTGGAATAAACTAATAACTTGAATCACATCAATGTTAATGATATTTTATAAAAAATTATAAGATTCTTCAATTTATCTAACAGAACAGTGATATATAAGTAAATGCATATCATGTAATAAAAAAAAATATTTTATGCAGCATGTTATTGATTTGTTGCACCAGTATGTTTTTATCTTATTTTTGTTTTTTAAAAGAAGAGCTTAAAAAATATCATATTTGCTTAAATCAAAAGTTAAAAACTTATATTGAGCACTTAAAGCAAGTTTTTGTCCTTACCGAACAAGTTTATATTTTATTTATTTTTTTCCTAATGAGAAAACTGTATAATTGTTTTTTGTAATCTTATTGTTTGATACTATACATATAGGCAAAGCATGTTAATTGGTCCAAACTCAAAATTATTTTATTAACTCTCCATTTTATTTAATATTTTTATTTCAATATTGATTTCAATTTTTATATTAATACTTAAATATTCTTATGCATTTTTATTGTATTAAAAAATACATGCTAGAGCATGTTAAATGTTAACGTTTATATAAAGAAATGATGAAATCTTTATCACCATGTATCTTTATTACTATGTGTTTTATATGCTTAGATCTTTTACATATCTATTTAAGTTTGTCCGATTTTAAAAAGGCTGATTAAATTTGTCATTTTTTTTCTTCATAAATTTCTAATTTGACTTTTTTGTTTTCCTTTTCTTTCTAAAATGATAAACCTGTTTATACTTTTGTATTTATATATTTTTTAGTTAAAACTATAATAAATTTTTGAAATTGGTGTAAATAATTGGTAATTTTTTTTTTTAAAACTAAAAACAGTTTTTAAACATTGTGAATGAAATGTTTTATAGTTTGAGTGTAATATTTCTAGAAAAATCAAATTATTTATAATATTTATCTAAAATCAACCGTTTAAAAAATGGGGAATGCAGTTACTGTCTTTTTTAATTCATTGAGAATAGAAGTCATTTTGAAAACTATTTACTTGCCAATGGCACTTGTTTTTACTGCCATGTTAAGATTAAGCATGGAATGAAATTGAAATATTTTACTTATTTATTTGGATATTGTTGAGATTTTTCATGCATTTGATTTGTTAAAAAAAAAGAAAAATTTTTTTGTGAAGAATTATTTTAGATAAAATGAATGTCATATTTTATAAATTTTACTTTAATTTTTTATCATTACATCATAGAACTTTCCCGATAGGTATTGTTTTCCAATGCAGAAAATTTAAAGGTATGGTTTATGTTTTAATTTTGAATTTTTTGCGGAAAAATTATTGACTATTAATTATTATAAATTATTTACTATTTATTATCAATGTAAATTTCACTAAAATGTTCATTTTTTGAATGCTTAATTTCAATAAGTCAATTTTTCTCATAAATATGATTGATTTTAATAGCTAATATAATTTGCTGAAAAATCGATAATTGAAAAAAAAAATTCAACAGTACCACATATTAATAATTAAAATCACTTCGCTTCGAAGTTAAATGGTTATTCCAAAAAGTGAGGGAATTTCTCACTTATTTTAAAATAAAAATGTATTTTTACTGAATTTTACTAAACTAAATTAACTTTCTTAATTATGCTTGAATCAACATTACAATGATTAATGAAAGTGATGTTAAGCATATATATGTAAAAAGACATATTTTATTATATTTACAAATCATCTAAATTATTCAGAAAAATGTTATACTGAAAGAATTGTATTTTATTAAAAGGTTGGATTTATCAAAACTAAAAGTTTTTGCTATTTCAATTCATGCTGGTCATGTTTGTGAATTGTATACTAGTTTATCATTCTTTGTTCTTGGTATAGGTGTATTTTTCTAATTATTGTTGTTGACAATACAATTTTTTTTACTAAGTATGTGTGCCTTTATTTTTGTTTTAACTTCTATTTTTTGTAAAATATTTACATGCCTAAAATGTAAATATTTATACCATATTAGTATAAACCTCAGAAACTTATAAATCAATTTTCTGATTTGATGAATCCCTAACTTCTGAAACATAACTTAACAATTTGAAAGAAAAAAAAAGATTTATATCAACGTGAAAATATTATTTTGAAACTAAAGTATAAAGGTAGTAAAAATTTTTTCTAAGCTTGTGGAAAAGTTGTCGGTTAAAAAATATTTTAAATTGAACATCTGATAGTTAATCATTGTTGATACGCGTTGTCCCACGATCAGTTTAAGAAAACCAAAAATTTAGGAAATCTGGTTATTTGTTCTCATCAAGTTTCAGACTTAGTTATAAAGTTCATCAAAAGACAGTGTTGGTGACGAGGAACAAACGTTTTAAAAACAAATATTTTTAGCAACTTGTTGCACATCTGAAAAACAAACTAAATCTAACCATCCACACACATGGATGTGATGGGACTCCTTATTTCTTAAATAACGAAATGCCTCTTTCTTAAAGCGTATTTAAACTTAAAGTAATTTAATTTTTTATTAAAAATAACAAGCTATATATTACTTCATAAATTTGAAATATGTACTTATAATTTTTTAAAAAAAATATTAAAATATTCTCTACCCTACAATAATGGAAGAGATACTTTCAGTTTTTGACATTTTCTTGAATTTCTCAAGATATACTTAGAGTATTATTTTGTATTTTTAGAGATGTTTAGTTCATGCAATTTTCAATACTTAGCAATAAGGTGTGAAATTTTTAGAGGTTTAGGACTGTTAATAAATTAACAGAAAACAAGTATTTTTTTACTTCCCTATGCTAGAAAATCAAGCAATAAGCTTGTAACTCGTATCAATTACTTTGGATGTTTGCAACTACTGCAAAAAATTACGTATACCTAGCTTAAATATTTCTCGAGTTATAGGCATTTAAGGAAGAAAAAAACAAATTTTTTTGTTTTGCGGTTTTTTAGACTTTAAGAATATTCACTACATTTTAAAAATATTTTTGAAGCGATTTAAAATTACAAACAAAATTATTGTTTTAAAATTTGAAAAAAATATCACTAAAAACAGCACAAGATATGAGTATTTAAAGCAGCTCTTTAATAATGCGCATGCGCGAAAAAAAAAAATTTCTTCATAATTTTGAAGAGAATCATGTTTGGAAACTGATGAAAAAAGTCTGATTTGAATATCTTTCAACTAATTTTTAGTTTCAAGCAATTTCCTGAGTACTTTTTGAAAGATAACTTAACACAATAAGGGCATTTTCCTAAATTATATTTTTTATACTTATAAACAAGATTGATGAAAAATGACACTGGCATTGTGTGGGGATCTACTACCATAAAAGTCTGCTTTTTTCCAAATGTTTTTCCCCCCTTATACTACGCATTTGCGGTGCATGGACAATTATTGTAAGGTATTATCATTCATTATTAAATTTTGTCTTATGATGCAAAATATAATTTGTGAAAAACCCCTTCTCAATTAGAGCTTTCTTTTAAAAATACAAAAACTACTTAGAAAATTGTTTGAAACTTTTTAAATTTTTAAGATATTCAAATCAGAATTTTTTCATTAGTTGTCAAAGATAATTCAGTTTAAAGTTATGAATTTTTTTTTAAAAAATTTTTCCTCGAATGTGCAGTATAAAAGAACTACTTTCTCATTTCTTGTGCAGTTTTTAGTGAATTTTTTTTAAACTAAAAAAAGAAATATTTTTAAATTTTATTGAATATTTTTAGATACAATAAAAAAATGAGTTTTTTTTATAAAAATGTCTATATTTCCATATATATTTTAGGTAGATATACAAAATATTAAACAGTTATTGCAAACAACAACTAAAGATAAACCATGCAAGTTACTAGCTTATTGTTTGATTTCCTGGCATATGGTGTTCAAAAATACTTGCTTTTTTTCGTAATTTATTGTCGGTCCCCCAAACCTTTGAAAGCTTTAAACCTAATTGCTATGTATTATAATCACATGAACTGAACAGCTCTAATCATAAAAAATAATTCTTTAAGTATTTCTTGAGAAATTTAAGATATTATTGTAGGGTAGTGTATATATATATTCTCCATACATTTTATTAAAAATTATTGCTACAACAAATTATCTTTCTTAAAAATATTTATTTAGACTATATTTTTACTGCAAAAAAAAAAAAAAAAATATTAGTAACGTTTTTACACCTTTATACAGCATGCATGTATTTCATAGAGTTATTCTCCAGTTTGATTTCTGACATATACATAGCAGCACAAACTATTTTGGAAATATTGTTTTTTGGAAGAAAATCATAGAAAGGGTAATTTTTTTAAACAATTTCAAATGTCCAAGACATTATTTATTATTAAAATTTCTCTGATTTTACTGGTTTAATCAAAAAAAAAAAATTATCTATTGAATTTCATTTTAATTTTTATCGTGAGATAGAAACTTAAAATTANAGTAAATAGTTGTTATAATCATAAAACTCAAGAAAGAAAGACGTATTTGTAAATTATTATTACTTCTCCAGGCCATCATAGGTATGTGTAAATGGTATAGGTATGTGTAAAATTTTAAACTTATTTTAAGTAAACTAAGAAATATTGAGAAAAAGGAAAAAAACTTGTTTAAATTTTTTTCTAATTTCTCAATTTTAACTGTTTGTTTTTTTTTAACTCAAGAAATTTTCCGGAATTTTGACTTGGGCTCACAATCACCCCTGATTAAGCTAAAAAAAAAAGAAGTTATGCATGCAAAGTTGACGATGGTTGAAAGATGAAGTAGTAGTTTTATTAAATACTAGAAATTTAAACTTATGAAGTATTTAAATTTAAAAAAAATATATTTAATTCTTTCAAATCGAAAAAAATTTCCATTAAAGTACTCTTAAATCTTTGAATCATTAACCGTGTAAATCTTAAATACTATCTTTTCTGCAAGAATATTATTCCGCATTTTTTAAGAAAACATTTATACCTGGTATTTTAAAAATTACAAAATATTTATTTATTTGATCATTCAGTCTGGAATAAACTTTCATATTTTTAAGAATTTATATTTACGTTTTTGGATTTTTTTTTCAAAAATGGTAAACTTATGAGCTTAAGCTATATATAACTTGAAAACAGGTGTTTGAAGGTGCATAGTTTAGCTGATATAACGGTTTGTGTAAAAAAAGATTTTTTAAAAAAAAAGAGTCTCGGTCACAAAGTTCAGGTAAATAGTATAAGAAGGTTAGTCACAGCATTTGAAAATAAAAACAATAAAAATTTCTGCTCCTGCTCGAATAATGACTTGCTCTTATGTGCACTATTATTGTTTATAGTTTGTTTAGATTTTCTATTCAGTTTTTCTCTAAAATATGTTAATATTTGGGAATTTTAAAATTAAATTATATATTAAAAATTCAAATTTGAAATTTTTTGAAGTATATCTTAACAGAAATCGAAGTAGTTTTAACTCAAATTAATTTATGTTACTAAATTAATTCTGCATAATGAGCATTACATGACTTTATAAACTGGGATAATTATGTGCAGAATTTTAAGGAAGTGTAAAAATTGAAAAGTGTGTTTTATAATATAGTGTTGTACTTCTTATTTCATAATTTTTTTTAAAATATTGATTTTTGTTTCTTACTGTATTTACGAAAAAATTGCCGTGACCATGATTCGACCCTGGATTATTGCGGCCACAACGCAATGCATTTACCACTACACTATGAGTTTATGAGGCACACTAAAGTTTCCTTAATTATTTACTTTTCCTTAATTATAAGTTTCCTTAATTATTTTTAAAATCTCTCTTGATAATTAGACTGGATAAGAACTAAATATTTAGTCCAGAAATATTAATCTCACAAATATTTTGATAGATGGCAGCACCATAAAACTTTTCAAACACATGAAATTTAAAGTTTTAAAAATCACTCAGATATAAAAACTGACAATTAGCTGATAGATAGCCGCATTATAATAGTTTTCTTTCTTTTTTGTCTGCCGACGATAGTCTGAAGAGAGTTAGAAAACATTGTCCAATGCATTATTTTGATTTTTATTCTAGATTATTTATCATCATAAATGAATCTTATTCTAAAAGATTTATCTGCCATGGGACCTATAGACTAAACAGATACTAACACTTCTCTTCATACAAATTAAACATTTGAAGTATTTGTGTGTTAGTAATTCAGAATACTCCAATGAGGTTGAAAACAAACTCAAACCATTGTAAGATTTTTCTTTCGTCTAAATCAGGGATTTTAAACTTATATGAGGCAGGGGGCCGCAATTAAAAACACCAGTCAAATGGCGGGCCGCAACTTTATCAAAATTTTATCTAGGACTCTTTTTATGTTTGAAGGAACATTAAATACTGTCAGATTTTTATCAAGTTGTACAAAACAAACGTATTGAATTACAAATTAAAATTAGAAGTAGATTTTTAAGCAACATACACGATTATTTTTGCATTTGAATGAATATTTTCTTAGATGCAAAAACTGAGAAATAATTTTTTTTGCTCCGTTGGTATGTTAAATTTCACAGAAACGAAGAAATTAGGTTTTTTTTTAACGAAAGATAAGTATTTTAAACCCATATTGATTTTTTACGAAAATTGTCCGCAAAAAATGACAACTAATATATTTTAGTTCGCGGGCCACAAAAAAAGGCTTCGCTGGCCGGATGCGACCCGCGGTCTACCACTTGGTAACCATTGTTCTAAATACTGTAAAAAGGGGATTGTTGTTTAAACATTTCTTTTTCAAATTTTTTTTTTAATTTATTCATAGAGTGAATGGAGCATAGCAAGTTGTGTTTAGGCTGTAAATATTAATATATAAATTAATAATTATATACTAATAATTTTGTCATAAATTGTTTAAATGATTATTGTTTAAATGGTTATTATTTAAAAAATCATAATGCATGAAAATAGAGGCTGATGTTTCATTCTCTGGCTTTATGAAATTTATTAGTATTTTAAATGTATTATTATTAATAACTAGAGGGCTGAGTCCCCTGCTCGCTGATGCTCACAAACCCCGATGATTGCTTTGCAATAATTGTTGTTTCTTAGCGCAAAACAGTTGAAATTATTCAACTAAAAATACATGTACTAAAAAGAACACTTGTGCCACCACATTACACGTCCAAATATTTCCCTTATACTATTAAGATCTCTTAGTGGGCATAAATTATTTTTCTAGGTGTGATGCCACAATTGGCATTACATATTTATTTTCTATCCTTTTAAAATATCTTTCTTTACTTAAGCTTATTTTTATTAATAGAATTATATTTAATATAAATCAAGGACTTAATCTTTTAAAACGAACATAAAATATTTATTCATTTCTTTTAGATCAATGTAACGGATACTTTTTATTTCATTACTAATGCTGACTTATTAATTCACTGTCGTCTCTAATCGAAAACAAAAATCTATTTATAACTTTTTATTCTAAATTTCCAACCGCTAAATGGTTCAGTTGCATGGTTGTAATAATTCTCATAAATTTGTTGGCGACTCGTGATCGCCAAGGTGTTCTTTTAAACCCAATATTGATATGCTGGTTGGCTTTGTTTTGGCTATGTTATATTTTGATAATTCGCCAATTTTGGATCTCTTACCCATACTTTCTATGTCCGTTATAATTATATTCACTTTTAATTTCAAATTTGTGGAGACTGGGAGTGTCCTTATGGCCCCCCCCCCAGTCTCAATTTCTAACCGTCAGAAATGATATTCTGACTGTATGATCTCTCAATAAGAGGGTATTCTGATTTCATCCCTTTAAGGGATTTCTTTTTTTTGGATGAAGAAATGGCCATTCTCTGTATCACCAATTATGCTTAATAAAATCTAAATTTCACTTAACAATTTGTATATTCTTTCCTGGAGACTGTATAAAGTTATTTTCCACTATACGAATATTGGCGGCTACTGGCGGAGAACAAACCTCCGCCATACTAGGGAATCTTTTTTTTTTTTTTGAATAAAGAGTGTATTGTTGTAAAACATTTGCCGAGTTCACAACTGTAATTTAATATTTTTGTTTACCAAACTGACTGATATATTTAAATACATTGTTTGCACTCATCACTTTGTGCATGAAGCTATAAGTTGAGTTCTAAATCATTTAACGAATCTCTTTAATCGTCATTTATAATGGCATATAAATGTAATTTGCACCAAAAAGTAATAATTGTAAAATGGTTAATAAGATCGGACACCGAGTTGAATAACTTTCTTTTAAAATGTATCGTAGAATTACGTTATTCTAATAATAATAATAACAATCCTCTAAACTCTTCATTTAGAAAACAAACAAAATTGAAGACGTTATGATAACAACAGCACAGGCAAATACCTTTAAATTAGGGATACGAAAATATTTATACAAAAACAATACCTTTATGACTTATATCAATTTTATGCTAATGATAATCAAACCAAATAGAAAATTAATGTGGGAAAACTGGATTCTACCGTATAATTTTTCGGCCAATAAAAATGAACAGACTACAATGGAAAACTGTGTCAGACCATAAGTTTTTATGTTATATATTCCGGCCAACAAAAATGCTCCTCCAATAATGGAAAACTCTGTCAGATCATTATGTTTTTATGTTATATAAAGATATTTCAAAAGATGTTTCATGAAAAAATGCTAGTTTCAATTCATAAATGTACCCTCAAAGAGTTCTTCGAGAAAGTTCGAGTTCATATATTATGAATAAATTTTTTTTCCAAACTGAATTTATTTTAATCTATACAATTTTATTCTATATTTTGGCGAAGGAAAGATTTTAATTTTCAATTTCTCCTATTTAAATATATAAAATATTAAAAAAATTTTTTTTTTCACTTTATTTTTTAAATATGAAATCCCGATTAGTTTAGAATATTGAAATACATACGTTTCATTTAATTTTAGAAGGAAAAAAAAAGCATTTATTTTTGACTTCTTTCATATTTTTGATTGGTAATTAAACATTAAGATATTATAACATTTCGGAAATTTCGTTACGACGTTAACCTTATTTAACACTCGAAATAAAATAGATTAATCGTCTAATTAGAAAGCAAAAAAGAATGCAAGTTTTTTTATTATTCCAAGAGAACCGTTTTGTAACTTCTCAGAAAATTTGTTTTTAATTAAAAACAATAAAAGCATTAAAAAAAAGATTTAACGAAACCCGTCTACTGGCCTCGAGAATTTTTTCATCTCGTCCGTCCTTAAACCACTGTCTTATAAAATAATTCTAATTTAACAGTTTGTGATAACAATATCAATAGTTTGCAGTAAGTAATATAATAGTTCAGAATAATTTTATAGTAATAATTATTTATATTATTATTAATTATTTATAATTAATTATTGATATTTTTATAATATTTATTTATTATTAATAATAAGAACAATAAACGCTGAATTAAAGTAACTTTCATAATAGTTTAATAATATAAAAGTAAGTAGTAATAGTTTTCAATAAATAATATAACAGTCCAGAATAATTTAATAGTAAATAATAATTATTTATAATAATAATAAGGACAATAAACATTGAATTAAAATAACTTATTTAGTGGTTTAATACGATAAAAGTAAGCAGTAATGGTTTGCAATTAATAATATAAAGTTTTCAACATTATAATAGTAAATAATAATAATTTATTATTAATAATATAAACTATGAAAATTGAGAGAAAAATAACTAAACACTTCTTAAAAGTGAATAATAATAATCTGTTATTAATGATAAGAAGAAATAAAAGATGATTAAAGATAAATTTAAAAAAATGGGGATCTTCTATATAGCATGTAAAAATTATTTTTAATGCATTAAAACTTTTTCTACTGATCATTTGAACGTTTTTCTAACATCATGAAAATAAAACTATATAAAAAATAATCTTTCTTTCGCACTCCAAAAAGAACCGTTGTATAAATTAATTCAGAAACTTCTGAGCAAACTTGTCTTTATTAAAACACAATAAAGGCAGCAAAAAGCATAAAAAAGAACTAAAACTCGCACCGAAACCTGTCCACTGGCCTCGAAGATTTTCCAACCGGGTCGTTACGTCACGGGCTCTAAGTTTCCATCCGAAAACCCCATGCGAGGAAAAAACACCACAGAATCATTCGGATACCTGTTCAGTTCAGAACTTTCGCACTCGATTCAAAAACTCGACCCCACATTATTTATATACGAACCATCATCTCAGCAGTGCTCGACTTCAAAGTCGGAGAAGATCGAACTGTCTCAGTATGTTGCCATTCGGATCTTCCTTAATGTCTCTCAGGAAGTTACCTTTTTAATGTTCTAAGTTCACTGATTGATTAATCGATATCACGAAGGTGGAAAGTTTGTTTGCGGAAGTTAAAGTTAGCCGAAGACTTTACCAGACCAGCATACTTTCGCAAGAAAGTAGAGAAAAAAAAAAGTTATAATTGATTTTTTTGAAAGAACTCCAGTATGTCTCTATGTGAATTTTAAAATCATTTGGACGTGATTATGGCTGCTTTTCGGATTACATTCTTAGTCAAAATAGCTTTCTTCGGAATTAGTCAACTAGTAATAGGTAAGAAATTAAATTACTTAATTATTTAAAATTAATATGATTTCTTTTTGTAAACATAATATAAATTGGAACAAAAGTTGTATGTTATAGTTTCTGCAAATTTTTATTGCATTGTTTTATGATTTCTCTATATTAAAAGTCACAAGATCGCCGATGCCGCCGTTATTTTGAGTGTTCAACTTAACGTTACATTTGGTTTTGCTGCTCTAAAACTATGAGACTTAAAAGCTTAAAATTACTGAGGTGTGTAGAAGTGTGAACAAGGAATACAATGGAATAAAAATATTTGACATTCGATAAATTTTCGAAAATTAATAACTGTTACTCTTCTTGGAAAAAATATCAAACTGGCCACTCTATAAGCAGCAGAAATGTAGCTACAGAGTTGAAATTCGGCATGCTGAAAAGGACATATTTATTTATGAACTTTACACATTTTTTTTTCGAAATTTCAATTTGTTCGGAAGTTAATGCAAATTTTAAAAACTTTTTGCACTTTACTTTGTTTTACGTTTCATTTTGCTTTGTTGATCAAAATCTATAATAGTTAGAAACTTTAAATTGCGAAGGAGTGTAGAAAACGTATAGGGAGAGTAAGACAAAATAAAAAATTTCAGATTCGACTATAGCTTGGGAATCGTTATTGTTAAACTTGTGGTAGGAAAAAAAACATGTTGGTCGATCTACTGTCCGCTGAAATGCGACCACAGGATTAAAATTTGACAAGCTGGTAGAACCATTTAGTATTTTTCCTTTCAGAAATTCTTATTTGTTTGAAAGTCATTCCAAATTTAAGTGCTTTTAGTGAGTTTTTCGAGCTGCTTTCCTTAAAATATTGACTATTTACCCATTTTTGAAGGAAATTCATTTTCTCCCTCACGTGATATATATTTTTTATTTTATAAACTATAAATCTTAACATTCACAGTATGATTTTTAAAAATTAAAAAAATAAATAAATAAAAACTTATTAAATAACGATAAAAGCAAAACTCGATTTAAATTGCTTAAAGTCTCTTCAACGAGGAAAACTACTTCACATTTTATTTTCTTATTGAGTCACAATCTGTATTCCTCAGGTTAATTTTTTCTTATTGAGTCACAATCTGCATTCCTTAGGTAAATTTTTTTTTTTTTAAGTACAGATGATTATTTTTCAAATCTAAGTGTTCGGCTATTTCGTCACGATTAACACTTTAACCAAAATGCTCTTACATATAGTTACAATAATTGTATATCTATAATTGTTTATATATTTATATCATAAAGTTACAATAATTGTATATATACACATAAAGCTACAATAATTGTATAATTGGATATATACACATAAAGAAACAATAATTGTATAATTGGATATATACACATAACGCAACAATAAGTGTATAATTGGATATATACACATAAAGCTACAATAATTGTATATATATACATATAAAGCTACAGTAATTGTGGGAAATATTTACGTTTAAATAAGAAATAAACACTAATTGTTGAGAAGCAATTACGGGGGTTGGCGAGAGGAGTGAGCAGCGGGTGGAGGCTCCTAGTTAATTACAAAAAAAGTACATAATAAATGTTTTATCAGTACATTTCATTGAAATTGAAAAGATGAATTTCATGGACTTTTTTCATGTTAGTTTTTTATTATTAACAATGTGACAAACTACTTCAGTTAATTTACACAATAAATATTCTTTCCTAGCAGTGCTTTTTTGTAATGAATAACATAGCAAAAAGCCGGTTTTCTGTGCAGAAAAGCAATAATCTCCTACCACTATACTGAAATCGTGGTTTGACGTTAAAGGGGTACTGCAATTGCATAGATTTAAAAAAAAAGTTTCTTCCATTTTTTATTAACATACCGATTGGAAAACAAGTTTAGTTATTTTCAAATGGTTATAAAATTAATTTAATAGCATTTAAGTTCATGCAATAGGGAAGAAAAAAAAATTAAATGTGTGTGCAAGTGTGTTTTAATATTCGCCGAAATCTTTTAATATTTACATACAATTTTAGTTCATGTTAAAAAAGCATAAAATAATATGTAAAAACAACAAGAGAATTCTAACTCATGATACGTCTACGACTGAAGATATTTTACTCCAGCATTGTGGTCAGTACAAGCCACGAGCAGAATTCGTATCAACCGGTCACCGCTGGGGATTTGAACATGGTTTACCTCATAGGGAGGAGAATACTTGTCGTCCTTGTCTTCTGGATTGGGCTCAAAATCACTTGCGTATAGTTTTTGTAATAAATTGTATTCCTTAGTATTTTCCGTTTTACTAGAAAGCGTAAAAATTGTTTTATGATGACTTAAAATTGTGATTGACCAAGAATACTTAGGAGAGTAGGCATTTGCTACTTTACAAAAATGAAAGCAAACTTCGGTTATTTAAGTGTGAAAAATATCAGCGTTCTTCGTTTATGTATAGCTGAGACAGTAAACTACAAGTGTTTTTGTTTTGTTTTTGTTTCTTTTGTAGAGAAATTCCTGTTTAAATTTTTATTACAGTCAGGTTATTCGTGAAAGGTTTTCGAGATTTGTTTCGATAATGTATAAAATAACAATTAAATAAAATATAAATAAAAAAACCCTCTTTTGAAGTGAGTTTATTATGTTTTTTGAGATCAGTTGATTTCTTTATAAGGCTCGAAATTAATCAAAATGCTGTCAGGAAATTACGTAATAAATATTAATATAATAATCACAATCGTGATAATGACACTAGGAAATTTTTTTATTTCATCGGATCTTGAATATTTTTACGTTGCTGATTTCAAATCTGCAATCGGTTTCTCTCTTCAAGTAACAGTTTTTTTTAAATGACATTTATTAATTTTTTGTGTGGTCAAAATGTATAAGTTTATGTGACAGGGTAAGCATAAATGTTGTAACAAACTTCTAGGGTAGTTAGGGCACATCATCAGGATTAAACCTGTCCGGAAATGCTGTCATACACGCTTGGGGTGCTTCCCTTTTATGAACTGTTTATTTGTGTACTTCTGAACTGGCCGAAAGAAGTGAAGCTCCCCTAGCTGCGTACGACTATATTTTCGGGCATGCGTTCCTATACAATTTTAATCCTGATGATGTGCCTTAACTCAGCTATAAGTTTATCGCAACATTTAAGCAACTCCTTGTTACATAAAATGTTTTTAAACTTGCATGTATATTTCAGCAAAAATAGACTAAAAATGCCACTTAAAAAAATCTATAGTTTTATGAGCAAAAAAAAAAAGTCGATTTTAAATCAAGTATTTGCATAAATACAATAAAAAATTCGAAGTACAATATTATAATGTAGTATAATTCGTAGCATATAGTACATAGCTTAATATTATTACCTTGTGCACATCCATTTTCTGGCCTATCCAAGGTAATTAACAAACCAAACTCGCTTCAGTATTACATTAGGAACGCGACATAAAAGATCCCTCTATTTATTCTCGTAACTCTATTTGCGCTTCTGTATTTATGTTTTGTAATCTGGCAAACTTATTACTCCTATATTTTAAATCGTTCTTGAAAGTTTCTGGTACATTTCAGTTCATTTGAATTCACTACTCGCTTTATAGATTTCGTTTTGTGTTTTGATCTGTATTTTCATTTTTTTGTTTGATATTTTTTACTTAATGTGTTAGAAAAATAGAGAGAAAACAAGGAAAAATATATCAAGATTAAATTATTAAAAATTTAAAATTATTAAAAAATAATCACAAATTTAAAAAAAATTGAAATTAGAAAAAAATGCCCTATTTTTTCGGATATAATCGTGTGAGCTGATGGTTTCCGTATTTATTTTATTTTCTCTATAAATAATAGTTATAAATAAAATACTCTTGTTTTTTAAATGGAACTGTTTTTTTTATACCTACCAAGGGCTACTTTATTCTGAAACCTAACTGAGGTTATGGGATACCTACCAAAATAACTAAGGGGCCAATCTGGCCTCTCTCCTCATTCTAGGTACTGCATAAAGTTCTATACATACGTTTCTATGAGGTTAGCTTATGAATCATTAACTAAGCATTTAAATTCGATCACATTATGAAAAGTCAGAAATACTCAATACTTTCCTTTCAATACGTTATTTTTTGAATTACAGAGCAACAAAAAGAAGGGGGGGGGGTGAAAGGTCAAAAAGGTCTCCTCCGTCTTTCTATTGTTAAAGAATACAAAGTCTTACTTTACATACTTATTTCATGCATATTATGTTTTGTTTTCAATTAAAATTTGCATGTAACCTTATAAATTTAATATATTAATCTATTTTAAGACTTACTAATTTAAGTATTTAATTTATCTTTTATTATAACATATTTAATAAAGTATTGTCTATATTCCATTAACTAATAAGCTTAGAAGTTAATCAATGCAAACGTTCGATTCATATTGTTCTAATAATAAGATAAGGTGTTGAGATTAGTTTAATTAACTTAATCGTAATTAGTTGAAGTACACTAAAAGACCTACTTAAAATTGTGTCCCAATTTTGCTTTGATTGTTAAAATTCGAACTGTGTCTGTTATTGTTTGTGCACAATATTTTTTGTTAAAGACGTTTTACAATAGGACTATTTTAAGAAATAAAAAACAGAATTTGTTTTCAATTGTTTGAATCTACAAAAATCTACAGGAGACAACATCATGTAATTTTTTCCCACGATCTGGTTTTGGTTTCAGGGATGCAAACTTTTATTCGAAATCGAGATGTGATTTTTAGAGCTATTGTTTTAATAGTGATGGATCTGTTGTTATGCTATTTAACACCAATTGCATACAATAAGAAAAACAATAATAACAACTGCAATTTATTTATAGAAGTGATATTAATGTTCGATGAACAATAAACAATGAAATATTATTGCTCATGCAACTGTAATGACGTTACAAGTGATGGCAGCTTATAAGTGATAGTTGCTTTTATCTTTTATAAGTGAAAAGATACATAGTACTATGTAACTCCAACTCTTTACTATAAATGCTTCATACAG